AGTTTTTCCTATTTCGGCTTGGATCGAAAATACTGAGCAGGAAAGGAGAGTATTAGTTACTGTGTATTATAGTGGAGAATTGAAAAGCATCATCAGCTTTCAATTGCTATTAATCGTGCATTATAGGCATCAAAGTGACAGTCATCTTGTAATTACTACCATTAATTATACGCATGAACGTGCAAGCTTTTCACATTCCCTTGCCATTTATTATCATGTGTGTGGTAGACACTAATCAAAGCTCTATCACTAATAATCATTTGTCTTAAGTCATCGACGATTCTTTAAAGTTGTCCGTATAATTCACTTAGACACCTCAACTAAGATTGATACCTATTGAACACTTTTACTGTTTTACATATTCAAAAATTGTTCCTATTAGGCATTTTTTGATAATCAACAAAAAATATGAAGAGTGTGTGATACACTTGCGCTGACATGGCAAAACGGCTAATTAAAGCAGAACATGTGGTACTGGCCCCCCAAAATTATATATAAAAAAAAATTGTTTAAAATTATTTCAAACACATTTTATATCTAATTTTTTTTAAAAAAAAAAATGAAAATGTCAACCTATTCTACAAAGCCCCACACCTACCCAACCCCCTTTCATCTTCATCTTCTTCCCAAAACACATTCTTTCTCAAATCACAAAATCTAATTTCTTTTCAAATAATTTGAAGATTAACTTTTTTTAAAAAGATATATTTTCATACTAAGAGTGAAGAAGAAAGAAAATTTTACCGGCGGTTATTCATTTATACATCGATGACAAAAAGAAATTCATGGCTCAAAAATTAATTCTTTCAAATTTACGAATATCATTTTTGATAAATGAGTTTATATTTGAATTTGAGTAAAAATATTTGTTCGAAAATTGTGATAAACAAATATCGGCTAACTTTTTTATACGTAAAAATCATTTATCTTCTTTGTTCTTTTTCATAATTGTTCCATTATTTCTATGAGATTTGAAATAAATCATATAAAAGAAAGTCTTTCTTTCAAATCTGAATCTTATGATTTCTTCATTGTTGATTTTCATTTATTTTTAGATTTGGAAGAAATAATATTCTTTTTTGTAAAAAAAAAAAAACAATGTTGGAGCTAAAATGGAGAAAGTTTTGCAAACTAAATTATGAAGAAGATGAGTGGTAGGGGGTGGGGTGCTTTTCTTTTTTGAAAAAGTGTAAATGAAAGAAGAAAAAATGTTTTAAAGCTAATTATAGTGCCAAGTGTCAATAAAAGAAGAAAAAATGTAAAAAGAAATTAAAAAAAACACTATTTTGAATCTTTTCAGGCGCTTCAGGGGAGTGCAAAACACATTTTTTGTCATATCAACGTTTTATATTTAATAGGTACATGTTTTGAACAATTTAAGTGTTCAATAGATACAAGTCCTAATTAAGGTGTCTAAATGAATTATACGGACAACTTTAAGGGGTTGTCGATGAATTAAGCCTAATCATTTTATCATTTGAATTTCTCTCTTCAAATGGGGCGGGGCAGATGTGGGGTGGGGGGTTTGAACAGATGCGGGGAGGGACAAGTTTATATAAATGCGGGGGCGGAGCGGGGTAGGGCTGGTTCATATCAAAATACTTAATTTTTGCGGGTACGGGGCGGGGGCGGGTACAATAATTTCATTTTCGCATTATATTATTAGCCTACAACTGAAGGCTAAACTTTACATATTTAGCATGCAAATTATAAGAATAATTAAACATATCAAGCAAAACTTTTTTCTATAACAAAAAAATAAGATTTCCCTTTAATATTTCTCTTCCATCTTTTTATGATTAAATAAGAAAATTACAAGTGACTATCTCAAATTTAAAATCTAAAAGTTTCTGTTTCAAAATGACCAATGATTACCAGAACTAAAATTGTATTCTTATGAAAATATTATTTACAAATTAAATTACAAAGAAAAATTGTTTTGAGATGGCTCAAAATAATGCATAAAAATAAAAGTTTTTTTTATTCACAATTTGGCGTGCCTTAACTAAATAATAAATGGTGTGGGTTTAGAGATTTGTTAGTCAAGTTTATTATAATTAAGCTTTAGTCTTTGTAGAATATTAATGCATGATTTCATCCTAACTTTAATGATATAATAATGTTAATTTCTTTCTGATATGTTTGAAATGTTGTTAAAAAGTTTACAACTTTTGAGGAACTAAATTTTTGTTTAATCAAACTTTAATTTTGTAGTAGCCGATGATTAGTAAATCATATATTAATTAAAATGAATAAATTTATGCTGAAAAAATAATATTTTTTATGTGGGGCGGGGTGGGGTGGGTTTATGCGGGGCGGGTTGAAATCAATTTTTTTTACTATGCGGTGCAGGTTGAAGTTCAACCCGCCCCGACCCGCTCCATTGCCATTTCTATCTATAAGCCATCTGTAGATCGATAGACTCATCACAAGTCATTGTTGTTCTGTGCAAGTTAGTTGTTAGTTGTAGTTTTGATGATCTAACAAACCCAGGGACCTTGTAAAGGGACCTGATACGACGAAAATATACACACAACTGTCAGGCTGGAAAAAGTACAATTGGTTGGTGCACAATCTCCAACAGTGGCAGAAGTGGCAGAAACCTCAGCCAATGGCATGGCTTCGAAGGTTGTGACTATCCTTCATAAAGATTATGTCCAATAGTCATGACCTTAGTTTTTGCAACTTGAAAACTCTCAAGAACTCTTGCAAAGGCTAACAAAAGTGAAGAATCATCCTCAAGAACAACAGGGACCTGATAGAGCTGCAAGCTTAGTTGTCTTAGGATTATTTCTTCTGCACGAACATTATAAATTTGTTCCTAATTCTATAAAGGATTCAGATATTGTGTTTTGGTTGAAAAGTCTAAATCGGTTAAGAGTAACTGATTTAGTGGGCAACATCCTTTTGTTGCTTAGTCAAAGTCTAAGTCATCTAGAGAGGGTGGTTTAGTGGGCAACCTGTGTGTTGCTTAGTTGAATCCTAAGTTGTCTAGTAGTGATAGCTTAGTGGGCAGTGTGGCATCTGCTTAGGCTCTTCAAGTAATAGAGTTATTACTTGGTTGTGAGATTAATAACTTTTTCTCATGTTGATTGTAACTGTTGTTCGCTTTTGCTTAAGGAAGATTAGTGAAAACAGTTGAAAATCCTGTGTGACAGGTCGTGATTTTACTCCCTTGAGCAAGGAGGTTTCCACGTAAACTGCTTGTGTTGTGTTCTTATTATTATTTACTCTTCGTTATTATTCTTGCTGAGTCAAGGGACCTGGTCCATTGACTGAGAGTGGATGCACGCATTCTATCATTAGTGTTGGTTCGAGCCGACTCATGCTGATATTCTGCTTATACAAAATGCTATAATTCATAATTGTGTGATATTCTGTTTTGATATTACACTACTACATATTGTATTACTTCAGGTTGGAATAAACCAATTTGAGACTTCCATTCTGTATATGGTGCTTAGTTTGTTTTAAATTTCTTGATACAAGTCATCTTTCAAGCATTTGAGTATATAATTGATTATTGATATTTCCTTAGATTTTGCTACTGAACTTTAGTTTGTGGAAGAATTTTTGAAAGCCACACAGGAGTGTCATCTTGGTTTCTGCTTTTAGGAAACTGTTATAGTATATGCTAACTTAAATTATACTAATTTGGATTTCTATGTTTCTTTCGTGTGTGTACTTCTTACTTTAGTTGTTTTTTATAAATGCATTATTGCGGTAAGCTTATATTCTTATTTGGGCTCAAAATTAATCATCTGTGATTTTATTGAAAGTTTGCCAATTATTAATCAAAATTCAAAAGTTATCGTTTGTTGCTTAAAAAGAATTAATTTGGAACATCAAAATACCCCCTTTATTTGGTGTTTTCTGGACATATTATTAAAGATTTATTTGTAATTATTGCATTTTTTTACTCATTACATACATGTTTCCATAGAATTTTAATCATTCTTATATATTTATTAAAATTCACATGGAACACCCATGCAAAACATGTACCCAAAAACTATACAAATAATTTATTTATTTTTTAACCATTGAAATTCACACAACAATAACATTATTAAGATACAAAGGGGTAAAAATTGGTATTTTATTCTCTAAACAATCTTTAAGTCTGTGCAGATGTGTAAGAATGCAAAATAAAATATCAATGACTTAATCTTCTTATGGGGCAAATTAAAAAAAATAAATTATTTTTCTTCCTAATAAAGGTGGAAAATTTGTTCAATGTGAAGCAATTTCAAATTTCCCTCCTTTTTGAATTAACGGTAAATTCAAGAATCAAGAAGTGACCTTTCTCTATATATATCAACACTCTCTTCTCATTCCCTTTCTATTCTATAACAATATTTGTCTTCAATTCAATTTTGTTGTGGAAGAATGTCTTGCGTGCTTTGCCGTTTCTGTGGAACTCGAGTTGCATTCGTCGAGGATTACATTAGTATTGTATGGATTCTCACTCTTCTTCTTCTTCTTCTTGAATTATTGATGGATTTGGTACTGATTTCAATATTTTAGATTCAATGCTTAATCATGAAATTGAGAACTCTGTTATAATTCTTGACTAAGCACAGAACGAAATTAAGCATGGAATCAAGTACATTTTGCGGACATTGCCTGGAGGGATCTTTAAGAGGGTGTAAGTCTCATGATTTCATGCAATTTGATATTACATATATATATATATATATATATATATATATATATATATATATTGCATATGTTACAAACCTTTATATGCAGGTTTAATGTTCTTTTACTAGACAAAGTAAATTACAATGGAATTACCGAAGTTCAATCACTATTTGGAACTACCGTAGCCAGTGCTAACTGTGGCCGATGTAGAACGAATCTCGGGTGGAAATTTGTAAGATACTAATATTAAAGAACATTTTGTTTTCATGAACAAGAAAACCTTGTTGCTTTTTTTTTTTTTTTTTTAAAAAAAAATACTGTTTTTTTTATTTCTCCAGATTGCAGCCACCCCGATCATGTGTTTTAGGGAAGGAATATTCCTTATGAAATTGTAAGTTTCTAATTACAAATATGCAAATTGAGAAGCGGCAGAATTGATACAAATGAGTATTTTGTGGCAGGGACAGGCTTAGATTATGTAATGAGGAAAATGCTGATCAAGATGGAGATGCTAATGAACAGGCTCCTAATGATCAAGATGGAGATGCTAATGAACAAGATTTAGGGGCTAATGGAGAAAATGCTCATCAAGGTGGAGATGCTAATGAAGAGGTTCCTAAGACAGAACTGATGGAGATGAAGATAGAACTGTTCAACATGGAGATAGAACTGATTAATATGGAGAGACAACTGATTAAGATGGGGACGCTACTGTTCAAGATGGAGACAACTAATCAAGATGGAGACACGACTGATCAAGATGGAGACGCTACTGATGATCATGATGAAGACACTACTGATGAAGATGGAGACGCCAATGATGATCATGATGAAGACACTACTGATGAAGATGGAGACGCTACTGATCAAGATGGAGACACAACTGATCAAGATGGAGGTGCTCCAATGAACTCATGAATGAAGATGTAGACCAACTGATGAAGAAAATGAAGACATTGATATTCTGCTTATACAAAATGCTATAATTCATAATTGTGTAATATTCTGTTTTCTGTTTCTGCTTTGAGATTGCACTACATATTATTACTTCAGGTTGGAATAACCAATTGACACTGAACTTTTTACATGTATGTCCTTCCCGTAAACATTCCGCAAATTTAAAATTAATTTCACTAATTAATTAATTAATAATCAGTGAATTAATTAATTAATAAATAATTTTGTGAATTAATATTTTTTAAAAATAATTAATTAGAATGATGAAGCCATTTCAAAATTTGTTAAATAAATTTATCCCTACTAAGGTTAGAAAATTTTCAGAGCGATTTGAAACAGAGCTGAAGAAACCATTTCAAAACAGAGCTCTTCTTAACTAGAATCAAGAATTAATATAATTTCAGTTTTGGGCAATTCTCCTCTGTTTTAATTTTCACCCATTTTTCGTTTTCTTGGATTCTCGTTGATCACCAACTCCATCTTTGGTGAGTAGTTTGTCTTTTCTTTCCATTGATCTTTCCAGCTTTTATATTTCTCTTACACTTTCTTCTTTATTCTTTATTAGGTGAATCATGTCTATTAGGATTTGGTTCTTGATTCAACAATTTGTGATGAGACAGAATTTGCCTGAATACAATCATATCCCTTTTGTTCATTACCTCCACTGTTGTAGTTGCACAACTCGAGTTGCAATCATCCAGGATTACTTTCCGAATCTAGAGATTCTTGCTAGAGTGCCTGCAGGGTTGTTTACTACAGCGTAAGTATCATGCAATTTCAACATCTTGTGATTTTATTTATGGTCTAATAAGGCACATATGAAGGTTTAGTGTTCAAGTAGCAGAGGACTATCGAGTAATAGATGGCATGACCGTAGCCGATACTTACTGTATCCAATGTAGAAACCTGCTCGGGCCGAAAATTGTAAGATACTAGTAATATTAAAGATCATTTGAGTTTCATGATAACAAGACGATTTTGTTGCTCTTTTTTTTTCCCTCTTAAATTACCGAATTTATGATTTCTCCAGATTACAGTCCCCCAACCGTCTAGTAGTCATACAGTAGGAAGATTCGTCATGATATTGTAAGTTTCTAATTATGAATTTGCAGATTGAGACTCTTTGTATACGGATATATGTGGTATGACTTGTAAGGTGTTAATTCAAATGAGTATTTTACGGCAGGAACAGGCTTGTTTGCTGGAACAATGTAACGTTGCTTGATTTACTCCTTGAAGGCAATAATGAACAGGCTCCTAATGATCAAGATGGAGGTGCAGATGAAGAACAGGATTATGATCAAAATGGAGGCGCTAATGAGCAGGTTCCTAATGAGCAAGATTTAGGCTCTAATGAGCAAAATGCTGATCAAAATGGAGATGCTAATGAACAAGATTTAGGCGCTAATGAGCAAAATGTTGATCAAGATGGAGACGCTAACGAACAAGATTTAGGGTCTAATGAGCAAAATGCTGATCTGGATGGAAATGGAGGCATTAATGAACAAGTTCCTAATCAAGACGTAGATATCGTTGAGGGACTGGGCAATATTGATCTAAATGCAAACATTTGAATCAACTATTGATGAAAATGCAGACATCCATAGTGCAGAACCAGCTTATTACAATAGAGTTCATATGATACGAGTATTAATTCATAACTCTGTGATATTCTGCTTTCTTTTTTTGGTTTTTGGATTACAGTACATATTGATTTTGGAGAAAAGCAATTGACATTTGACATGTTTGAGCTCGAGTACTTCCCTTCTCTATATGCTGCTAATTATGAGTTTATCTTTTAATTTCTTGTAATCTACTGGTTAAAAGTCACTGCAACTGCTGTACAATTGTCTTTGTTTCAACAAGCGTAGTTGCTTATTTCCATAGATTTTGCTTAATAGTAAATGCTATATCTTAACTAAAGTGACAGTGAATATTTCCTTTGCTTAATAGTTAATGTTAAGTTGCAGCTTCTGTCTTGTTTGACTAAGAAATTATCCTCAAACTTTAACTACTCTTTGTGTTAGACTTGTCCAACTGAAGGCGCTAATTACAGACTGTGGAAATGTCTCCAAATGAACTCAAGAGGGATGATTATGTAGTGTTGCTGTATATCCAAATACAGTTTGGCACAAAAACGAAAACTTTAAAAAAAAACATAGTTAAGGAAAATGGCTTCGCCCGGACTCAAACCGGAGACCTTCAGTGTGTTAGACTGACGTGATTGATGGTAAGTGGTAACTGTGTTCAACTGAAATACCAGAGGAATAAACAAAAAAAGCTGGAGAACAGAAAATACTAAATTCACTATGAACCCTTAAGGAATTTATTCCCTTCCCGATTTCGTGGATTATTTTCTCCTAGGATAAAACATATATAGTTAAAGAAGTAGCGGTATTTCAAACTTCAATAACTTTAGCGAACTCAAAAATCAACAACGAAATCACACAAAGACCCAACTTTGTTTGTAAGAACATGTATGCAAAAGAAAAAGAAAATTTGAAGTTAAATAGCTAGATAACCCTTTCTATTTATAGCCAATGATATGGATTAAATAGGTGTGAATTCACCTGTTCAAAACATGCATGGTGTCATTTGGGAGAGGAGATGTCTGTTCGGAAGGAACATGTAACGGCCCAACCTGCTAGTGATATTGTTCGCTCTGGGCCTAGGGCCCGCACGGCTTTAAAACGCGTCACTAGTTGGTAATGTCTGCTTACTGATATACCCAATATCTCCCCCGTGTTTTGCCGATGTGAGACTTCTAATTTTAAGTTGGGGGTGTCACAGAAAACATGTCCTTTCCATAAAATTTCTGCAAATTTTAAATTAATTTCGAGAGTTAATTAATAATTTTATGAATTAATATTAAGAAAAAAAATTAATTAATGAGAATGATCGAATAAATTTTGCCTAAAAAATTATCAACCAATCATTTGAATGGGTGAGGGAGCACTCTCTTTTAAGAGCTAATGGAAGTATTTCTTAATATAAAGACAATATTTATCCTCTATTCAATCAATGATGGAGAAAATAGTTTTGGAGGGAAAAAATTATAATTTCGTAAAAGGGAAAAATAAAATAAAATTTATCCCTGGTAAACGGTTAAAAAAATTTCAGAGCGATTTCAAAACAGAGCTCTTCTCAAAGAGTATTCAAGAATCAAGAATAAATATAATTTCAGTTTTGGGCATTTCTCCTCTGCTATAATTTTCACCCATTTTCTTTTTCTTGAATTCTCATTGATCATCAACTCTTTTCTCCCTAGTAAAAGGTTAGAAAATTTTCAGAGCGATTTGAAAACAGAGCTGAAGAAGCCATTTCAAAACAGAGATCTTCTCAACTAGAATCAGAATCAAGAATTAATATAATTTCAGTTTTGAGCAATTCTCCTCTGTTTTAATTTTCACCCATTTTTCGTTTTCTTGGATTCTCGTTGATCACCAACTCCATCCATCTTTGGTGAGTAGTTTGTCTTTTCTTTCCATTGATTTTTCCAGCTTTTATATTTCTCTAACACTTTCTTCTTTGTGCTCTAATAGGTCAAACATGGCTATTAGGATGGGACAGAATTTGCCTGAATACAATCATATCCCTTCTGTTCATTACTTCTACTGTTGTGGTTGCGGAGCTCATGTTGCAATCATCTATTACATTCCGGCTCTACGGATTATTGCTCAAGTGTATATATGCAGGTTTAGGGTTGAAGTAGCAGAAAACGAGCCACAACATGGAGTAATACATGGCATGAACTTGACCGTAGCCGTGACTTACTGTGTCCAATGTGGAAACCTTCTCATGTGGAAAATTGTAAGATACTAGTAATATTAAAGATCATTTGAGTTTCATGATAACAAGAAGGATTTGTTGCTCTTTTTTATTCCCTCTTAAATTACTGAACTTATGATTTCTCCAGATTGCCGTCTCCCAACCATCTACTGTTTATAGAGTAGGAGGATCCATCTTGAGATTGTAAGTTTCTAATTATGAAATTGCAGATTGAGACGTCTGTACATGTATATCTATGGTATGACTTGTAAGGTGTTAATTGAAATGAGTATTTTGTGGCAGGGACGCGGTTATTAGCTGGAACAATGTAACGTTGTTTGATTTTCTCAATGGAGGCAATAATGAACAGGCTCCTAATGATCAAGATGGAGGTGCAGGTGAAGAACAAGATGGAAACGCTAATGAACAAGATTCAAGCGCTAACGAGCAAAATGTTGATCAAGATGGAAACGCTAATGAACAAGATTTAGGGTCTAATGAGCAAAATGCTGATCTGGATGGAAATGGAGGCATTAATGAACAAGTTCCTAATCAAGATGTAGCTATCGTTGAGGGGCTGGGCAATATTGATCTAAATGCAAACATTTGAATCAACTATTGATGAAAATGCAGATAGGGCACTCATGATGCAGAACCAGCTTATTACAATAGAGTTCATATTGTACGAGTATTAATTCATAACTGTGTGATATTCTGCTTTCTTTTTTTGGTTTTTGGATTTCACTACATATTGATTTTGGAGAAATTGACACTGAACATTTGACATGTTTGAGCTCGAGTACTTCCCTCCTCTATATGCTGCTAATTAGTTTGTCTTTTGACTACAATCTACTGCTTAAATGTCACTGCAACTGCTGTGCAATTGTCTTTGTTTCAACAAGTGTAGTTGCTTCACTAGTATGGGAGATTTAAAAATGTTTGATTTTGAAAAATAGGCATAAATCCCTTATAGTTGAGTAGGATTTTATTTGTTTCAATCGAGGATACAATGTATATAGAACAAATCACACATAATTTTGACCTTATGTATCTTGAGATACATGTATTTTGACGTATTTGGATACACTAAAATCTGTTAAGATTCGTAATATTGCAAACTAGCGTGTGTATCTGAATAATTAGCTCCTAAACTAGTGGATTTTTGTAAGTTACCTTATTTGTCAGAGTGTTTGAAGTATTTCAATAAGATTGTGGTCCAAAGAATATTAGAGCGTACTGTCTTATTTCTAAAAGTTTCCAAATAATAGAATTTTGCACAAATATTAGTTTTTTTTTCTTTCTAGTATTTGAGAATTTGATTTTTTTTATTAAAAATATTTATCAATTAATGACAAGTTTATGACCAAACAGTATTTGTCAAGTTTTTTCTCAAACATTTTTGGGCGTCTGGCAATATCTATGGCCAAATAGATTCTAAGAAAAGAGAAAAATTCAAGTTTTGCACTGTCCCTGTTTGATGGATTGTCATTAATTTTTCACATACTGCTTATTTAATGAAATTTGTTGTCAAAAGTATTCATAACTATTGCTTAAAAATTATCCCCCTAGTAAAAGGTTAGAAAATTTCCAGAGCGATTTAAAAACAGAGCTGGTGAAGTCATTTCAAAACAGAGCTCTTCTCAACTAGAATTCAAGAATCAAGAATTAATATAATTTCAGTTTTGGGCATTTCTCCTCTGTTATAATTTTCACCCATTTTTTCGTTTTCTTGGATTCTCGTTGATCGCCAACTCCATCTTTGGTGTGTAGTTTGTCTTTTCTTTTCATTGATTTTTCCAGCTTTTATATTTCTCTTACACTTTGTTCTTTATTCTGTAATAGGTCAAACATGTCTATTAGGATTTGGTTCTTGACTCAACAATTGTGATGAGACAGAATTTACCTGAATACAATCATATCCCTTTTGTTCATTACCTCCACTGTCGTCGTTGCAGAACTCGAGTTGCAACCATCCAGGATTACTTTCCGGCTCTACAGATTCTTGGTAGTGTGCCTGCAGGGTTCTTTACTACAGTGTAAGTTTCATGCAATTTTAACATCTTGTGATTTTATTTATCGTCTAATAAGGGCATATATGCAGGTTTAGTGTTGAAGTAGCAGAGGACGAGCGATATCATCGAGGAATAGATGACATGACCCTAGCCGAGACTTACTGTGTCCAATGTAGAAACCTGGTCGGGTGGAAAATTGTAAGATACTAGTAATATTAAAGATCATTTGAGTTTCATGATAACAAGACGATTTTGTTGCTCTTTTTCTTTCCCTCTTAAATTACTGAATTTGTGATTTCTCCAGATTGCAATCTCCCAACCGTCTAGGAGTCATATAGTAGGAGGATTCATCATGAGATTGTAAGTTTCTAATTACGAATTTGCAGATTGAAACCGTCTGTTCATGTACATATATGGAATGACTTGTAAGGTGTTAATTCAAACCGAGTATTTTGTGGCAGGAACGAGATTATTTGCTGGAACAATGTACTGTTGTTGGATTTACTCTTTGGAGGCAATAATGAACAGGCTCCTAATGATCAAGATGGAGGTGCAGATGAAGAACAGGATAATGATCAAAATGGAGGCGCTAATGTACTGGTTCCTAATGAATAAGATTTAGGCTCTAATAAGCAAAATGTTGATCAAGATGGAGACGCTAATGAACAAGATTTAGGCACTAATGAGGAAAATGCTAATCGGGATGAAAATGGAGGCATTAATGGACAAGTTCGTAATCAAGATGTAGATATTGTTGAGGGAATGGGCAATATTGATCTAAATGCAAACATTTGAATCAACTATTGATGAAAAATGCATAGCCTACTTCCTTTTTTTTTTTTTTTTTTGGTTTGTGGATTACAGTACATATTGATTTTGGAGAAAAGCAATTGACATTTGACATGTTTGAGCTCGAGTGCTTCCCTTCTTTATAGAGTATATGTTTATCTTTTAATTTCTTGACTACAATCTTTTAATCGTCTTTGTTTCAACTAGTGTAGTTGCTTGACAGTGAAATCTAATTAAAATGCGAATGACTATTTGTTTCAATGGAGGGATATGGGTGGTAAGTTTGGTAAAGGCCTCTCTCTACACACTCTATAATAGATATCTATATAGGAACGTGCGTTGCACGTTTGTCCCCTATTACTATATAAATTTGTAGCCAGTATAAAATAATCAGTTGTAAATTTAAAATTATATATTCATCCACATGTACATAATTTTTCTCAGACTGTATACATTCTTGTTAAAGGAGTAGATATTATGTCCCGATATCTTGAATTTGTAAACAAAGGATTCATTACTATAATCGAAATGCTAGATTCTCTAATTTAAGTCAAGAAAAATGATAATAGAAAAAGGAAAAATTTAAGTCAACATCTAATTTCATTGTATGTGTATAAAGAAGAGAAAGTGTATTTAATTCAAGAAAGCACAGTTTTTTTCTTTGATTTGGAGAGGAAAACAGAAGATCCACCAATAAACACCATTCAACCACTATATATTTTCTTGGACAATTTCAATAGAAGCAAAGGAAATGTGCCAATTTCCATCTCCTTGCTCCTGCTCTTTCAAACATAGGAATTTCATTCTTATAAATATTTGTCATCTACTCCACCCAGATTTTTCATTGTTGAGTTTATGTGATTACCATTAGTCGACTCTCCAAGCTAAAGCCATTTCATTGACAAAAGGAGGCAGTCTGAGTGAAGCAAACAAATATCAAAACCAAAATTTCCAACACATTACAAAACATGGCAGATTGGGAACATTCTAGCGTCTAAAAGTGACATCCATATGCAGTAAGACATTAAGAAATTATTTCACCATTTTCTAGATCCAAGAATAGCAATATGGACTTGATGTCCCTATAGTTTGGACATCAAAAAATCTGAATATAATAGGAAACAAAGCAATAACAATTGATTTTTGGTTATGAAATATTAATATGGATGTCCCCGAATATTCTCTATGATGTATAGTTAATCCTTCACTACATACATCATAATGAATAGAACTTTCACACCCTCTAACTTTTCCCATAATCTCCCATGTTAATGCTATGCTTTTTTTTTTGGTAACAACTGTAAAAGATTACCATACCACCAAGAACAATTACAACTTAAAGAGCACCGATTCTGATAACAGAAATAGGCCTCCAACCAAGCAAAAACTAATTACAAAGTAAATGCTGCATAAAATCTCTACACTTATGTGCTTTCTTAGACTTATTAAGTAATAATCTTCCTATAACTTCCTTTTTTATCTGTAAAACGACCTCCTCTGTATGAACATTTCTCCCTTTGAACTTCTTCCAATTCCTAGCTCTCCAGGTATGATATAGTACTGCTCCACAAATGGCTGCCATGATTTAAGAACCTTTTGTATGCCTCTATCAATACTATATATAGAGGCTCATATTGTGTACACTTGAACATACTTATTGAAAGAATAAGAAATCGCTCTTCTCTTCTCTCCGTGTTTCTATTGCTTTAATAACGAAGGGTCTAAGACATTGTGTTTGATGGTGAAGAAAGAAAGTGTTGAGACGAAAATGGTTATCAGAAAGGTTTTTTTCTTTCTTTTTTTCTTCCGTCAATTCATAGTGAAATTCTTGATTATCAAGCACACTACCGAAAATACTAAATTTACTTGAGAAAACGGAGCTAAGTAGGAAAAAGAACACTGAAGCAAATTTAAATAGACTGATCTAAATAATTTTAAGGGAATTCATTTTTATAGCTCATATTAACATCATGGCACATAACAACTCTTGGAAAAAGTTAGGTTGTTGATTGAAAAATTCAATTTACTACAAGAAATCATCGAGTTCATACATACGATGGCAACCATCATTTTCTTATTCTACACCACTATATGCAACAAAGCCTCATTAGAAAAGTGAAATTATCCTCTAGGCATCGTAGTCACACAGGAAAAAGGACTCACATTTTTTTTCAGTATATTGGTTGAAAAAAAAAAAAAAGAGTACTATGTACCTATCCTTACACCTGTTTCCAAATAACTGGTTCTTGAAAGACAAACTATTTGAACGCATCCTTCATTTGGTTAGCAATTCCTGCTTCGTTTGCTCAGCCATTTTAGATAAATCTTATATTCTCCTCGAGGTCCTTACGACAAATCTTTGGAAACCTGAAGATCAATTCTTGATGCCATTTAAAAGTACTTCAAGCTCACTTTTTGACACCATTTTAAATTGAAGCAAGTCATAGTATCATGAGAGAAAAATAAAAATAAGTTAACATGATATAGTCCCAAAAAGGATAAAGAAATTAAGAAACCATTGAAAAACAGATACCAAAACAACCATTTGTTATCATCTACTATTATTCAAGATTTAATCAAACAAAATAGAAAAGAAAACGGGATAAAAAATATACCAGGCCTGAGAGCATGGCCGTAGTTCTTGAAGCGACCATCTCCACAAGTAGAAGTTGCGCTTGGATCAGTATATGAATCCTAATTACAGAGGAGATCTATTTCAGACTTTTGATTTCTGAAAAGATGTGTAGCGGTATTGGAGATGAAACGGTCATAACTCCTGGGAATTTGAAGTGACGGCTAACTGTATATCATGATTACCATTAGTATAATAATTTATTAATATGATAAGATTGTCATTTAATAATTAATTAATTAATGTTTTCATTTTTTATTTAGTTGAAGGGTGAAATGGTAATTCAAATTTTGATTTAGATTCTTCCCACTTTTAATAATAATTCAAATTTTATTAATGGTGATCAAAGTGGAGGTGCTAATGAGCAAAATGTTGATCAAGGTGGAGGTGCTAATGAGCAAAATGTTGATCAAGGTGGAGGCGCTAATGAGCAAAATGTTGATCAAGGTGGAGGCGCTAATGAGCAAAATGTTGTTCAAGATGGAGGCGCTAATGAGCAAAATGTTGATCAAGATGGAGGCGCTAATGAGCAAAATGTTGTTCAAGATGGAGGCACTAATGAGCAAAATGTTGTTCAAGATGGAGGCGCGCTAATGAGCAAAATGTTGTTCAAGATGGAGGCGCTAATGAGCAAAATGTTGTTCAAGATGGAGGCGCTAATGAGCAAAATGTTGATCAAGATGGAGGCGCTAATGAGCAAAATGTTGTTCAAGATGGAGGGGCTAATGAGCAAAATGTTGTTCAAGATGGAGGCGCTAATGAGCAAAATGTTGATCAAGATGGAGGCGCTAATGAGCAAAATGTTGTTCAAGATGGAGGCGCTAATGAGCAAAATGTTGATCAAGATGGAGGCGCTAATGAGCAAAATGTTGTTCAAGATGGAGGCGCTAATGAGCAAACTGTTGGTCAGGTTGTAGGAGCTAATGAGCAAAATGCTGATCAACATGGAGGCGGTAATGAAAAGAATCAGGATCAAGATAGAGGCCCACCAACTAAACGAATGAAGACATAGATCAAGTGGCTGATGGAATAGATAATATTGATAGCCTACTCATGCTGATATTCTGCTTATACAAATGCTATAATTCATAATTGTGTGATATTCTGTTTTCCATTTCTGTTTTGAGATTGTACTACATATGGTATTACTTCAGGTTGGAATAAACCAATTTGAGAGTGCCATTCTATATATGGTACTTAGTTTGTTTTTAATTTCTTGATACAAGTCATCTGTCGAGCATTTGAGTATAATCGACTGGTCAAAAGTTACTACTTGATTACTGATATTTCCTTAGATTTTGCTACTGAACTTTAGTTTGTGGATGACTAATTTTTGAAAGCCACACAGAAGTGTGAATGCCAGTGGTCATCTGCTTAAGTATATGCTAACTTAAGTGCCAGTGCTCATATTATACTAATTTGGATTTCTGCTTTCTGTTTAATATATTTGCAAATGTGTAACCTTCTGAATTCTGTACGATTCCTTTTGTCAAGAGGGATGATTATACGTGTGTTGAAAACGCCTAAAAGCTAATACAAATCTTGTAGTCCTGTTTGCATGAATGTGTAGTAGAGTTATGTCAAGTACTATAAATCATAATTAAACTGAAATGTAATGAGCAACAAATAATAAGAAGACAAAATTACAACCAAGATTGAGAAGAATTCTAATTTCTAAGCATCTCTTAATAGTAAGATAGTTTCCGTATGCATCTAGCAGTAATAGTTACAGATAATTTGAGAGACTTGTGATATTCTAGAAGCCTCTATCAACAAATGTAATAAGCTAACAGATGATAAATGATATTTCTAGTCTACCAAAATTGAAAAATGTTGATGAAATCGTCACTATAACTATAAGCTTATTACAAAATATGAAAATAATTCTCTCTTTAACTCTTACTGAAGCTGTGATACAACATTGGCTAAACTTGAATAGATTTTCTGTAAAAATCTGTAGCCTTTCAGATATCAACTTAATTATCCCGTTCTATCCCATGTTGTTTTGGCAATTTGAAAGCCTTCCAGGTTAAGCTAACTGATGCAATGATGAAAGATGGAAATAATTAGAAATAACTAAAAGAATTAACAATGATATAACTAAAGAACTAAATAGGAGAAAAACCTAAATAAAGGAAATTGAATGGAGATATGAAATGAGTAAAACAAGTCCGAAAGTCCATGTTAGATGAATATGTTACAGGTATGAAATTAATTAAATGAATTTAATGTATCAATGCAACTATTTGCAATAAATTTTGAAGTGACAGAAAATAAATTACAATCACAAAAAATACGAAGAAACATACATATTTTTTTATATCAACACACATCAGGCAAATTTGGTATCAACATGCAAATTTTAAAAGTATTAATTTTAAAAAATATCAGACCAAAATTTGGTATCAACATACATTAGGCAAACCAATATAAGTTACTTAAGAAGTCATCTCTCTTACTCAATCTCAGGTGAATTTACTTTTGCTATAATCTAAAAGTAATTGATTCAACTTGTGTTTAGACAATCGATATAAAGTCATCATTTCAACTCAAAATTTAAATGTGATTTTGAATCATGGTTCAAATCTCAAATTTTTCAAAAAGCATGATTTGGAATTTTTATTTTTTAATGGCTACACCATCTCATTTTTCCATATAATAATATATGAGGGGCTTTAGTATTTGGAGACGTGAGGTACTGGTTTTATTTGTCTTAGTTGTATCAGGTGTTTACACCAAATTAACTCAATATATTTTGGTTAAGTGATTTGATGTAATAGGAGTATAAAAAGAATAGTCTGAAGCACAAAGCATTCTACGTTAGTAGGGTCAGTGGAAGGACCGCACTTCAAGGAATGTAATATAGACCTTCTACTATAATACAAGGGTTAGTGATTGCTGTACTAATAATAAGACTTTTCATAAAAAAGAATGAGCAGTAATAATTAATAGCTAGCTCATTATGCTTCCATGTTCGAACTAGAGGTGTCAAATGAGCGGATTGAGTTGAAATTGGAGATACTAAAATGAGTTGAAATATAAATTAAGTTTGGTTTTGACCCACCCAAGTTTACTTTGAACTCAAATGGGTTGGGCATAAATGGGCTTAAAAATGAGTTGGATCTTGACCCGCCCAATTTGACCCACTAAATCTCAATAATTTTAATATATTGTTATTTAAGTTTTATAATCACAATTTAAAGATCAATTCAACAAAAAATTTAATAAGAAATTACTAATAGATAGATAAATCTTAACAGATATAAAATAGATAATGGAATATATATTAAATCCATGCAAATAAAAAGTCTCAAAACGGGTTGGAATTTGAGATTAAAAAAAGGAAACATAATTGGTTTTATATCCTCTATACAGTTTTGATCCAAATAAAATATGAATATGTCAGAAATTAAAAAGAAAATAGTTTTGGAGGGAAAATGGATTGAGAATTAACTGTAAATTCAAGAATCAAGAAGTGAATATACATATATATCAACATTCTCTCTTGTCATTTCCATCAAATTCATTCTTCTGCATTTTTCGTCTCTGAGTTGCTGCTTCTTCATTCAACAATGTTTAGATACAGTCTCCTTGATCACAACACTCATGCGCTCCCTTCTAATGGTAGCATCCACTGTCCTAATGTTCGGTGCAGAGCGCAAATTGCATGGTTCAAAGATTATGTTCGGCTGGTAACGATTCAAATATAATTTCTTTGTTTAGGAAGAATTATTTCATGAAATTGCTAATGATTTCAATATTTCGCATCATGAATTCTGTTTAATTAGGCACTACTCTGTTATAGTTCATTTTCTTGTCTTGTACATTTTGCAGAGTCAGTCAGAAGAACTAGGGCTCTTTAATTGGGTGTAAGTATCAGCAACTTGAGATATGTCGTATACACTTTTTTCTGCGGTCTAATGCTCATTTATATATGCAGGTTTAATGTTCGTGTACAAAACAACGTGATTTATAGTCAAACAGAATGTATAACTAGCACAGCCAAAACTTACTGTAGCAAATGTGAAAAGATGATCGGGTGGATGATTGTAAGATACTGATATTAAAGATCATCAACAAGAACATTTTGTTGCTTTTCTTTAAAAAAAATACTGAATTTTTTTATTTCTCCAGACTGGAGTCCCCCGAGAGAACGTGTATATTAAAGAAGGAAGATTCTGTATGAGATTGTAAGTTTCTAATTACACTTACACATAAGCATTATGACTTATAAGGGTTAATACAAATGAGTATTCTGTGGCAGGGACAAGCTTACTTATTCGAATCATCTACCGTTGGTTCGTTTAATTCCTGAGAACCAATTTTTCCAAGCTAATGAGGAAAATGCAGATCAAGATGGAGGCTCAGATGAAGATTATGATGACGATATTCCTGATTACATGATGCATCTTATCAGGCTAAATGCTTATCTAGGTACTGACCATCCTGTTGATCAAGTTGTAGGAGGTGGTAATGAGCAAAATGCTGATCAACATGGAGGCGGTAATGAGCAGAATGTTGGTCAAGATGAAGGCGGTAATGAGCAAAATGTTGGTCAAGATGGAGGCGGTAATGAGAAAAATGCTGATAAACATGGAAGCAGTAATGAGCTAAATGTTGGTCAAGATGGAGGCGGTAATGAGCAAAATGCTGATGAACATGGAGGCAGTAATGAGCTAAATGTTGGTCAAGATGGAGGCGGTAATGAGCAAAATACTGATCAACATGGAGGCAGTAATGAGCTAAATGTTGGTCAAGATGGAGGAGGTAATGAGAAAAATGCTGATGAACATGAAAGCAGTAATGAGCTAAATGTTGGTCAAGATGGAGGAGGTAATGAGAAAAATGCTGATGAACATGGAAGCAGTAATGAGCTAAATGTTGGTCAAGATGGAGGCGGTAATGAGAAAAATGCTGATGAACATGGAGGCATTAATGAGCTAAATGTTGGTCAAGATGGAGGCGGTAATGAGCAAAATACTGATCAACATGGAGGCGGTAATGAGAAAAATGTTGGTCAAGATGGAGGCGCTAATGAGCAAAATGCTGATCAACATGGAGGCGGTAGTGAGAAAAATGTTGGTCAAGATGAAGGCTCGCCAATGAAACGACCGAAGATATAGATCAAGTGGCTGATGGAATAGATAATATTGATAGACGACTCATGCTGATATTCTGCTTATACAAAATGCTATAATTCATAATTGTGTGATATTCTGTTTTCCATTTCTGTTTTGAGATTACACTACTACATATTGAATTTCTTCAGGTTGAATAAACCAATTTGAGACTGTATATGGTGCTTAGTTTGTTTTAAATTTCTTGATACAACTCATCTTTCAAGCATTTGAGTATAAGTTACTACTGGATTACTAATTTTTGAAAGCCACACAGGAATGTGAATGCCAGTGGTCATCTGTTTTCTCTCCTTTTTCTAAGGAATGGGTTTTTAGGAAACTGTTATAGTATATGCTAACATAAGTGTCAGTGCTCATATTATATTAATTTGGATTTCTGCTGTTGAATTGTTTAATATAATTGCAAATGTGTAACCTTTTGAAATCTGTACGAGCGATGTTATATACGTGTGTTGTTGCCAACAATTGAAGTTTATGGCTGCATAAAAGCTAATACAAATCCTGTAGTCCTGTTTGACATGAATTCATAGTAGAGTTTTCCTTCTACCACAGAAGAAGATGTCAGCTTCTCAAGTCTCAACGAGAGTATCGATCCTAACTTCTTAAGTAAGTTGCAGCACCACTACAGTTTTGGCACATCAGGAAAACTTTTTTTAAAAGAACCGGAGACCTTCAGTGTGTTAGACTGCGTGATAACCAACTACACCACGAGACCTTGGTATTATATTGATTTGCCTGTTTATCTCCTCAATCTTATGTCAATTTACTTTTGCTATAATCTAACAGTAATTGATTAAGCTTACATTTAGACATTCGATATTATCATGCTTGTTAGTGAAAAGACGTGGTTGTTGAACCAGATAATCAAATCTTCATTTTCGATTACGACGTTTAATTAGATACTAAACATAACTATTTAAGCTATGAAGGATATGCAAAGAAACAAAAACTTCACCAGTAAAATTACTCACTGTATGAAGAAGATCTCTTTAGAGCTGGAAATTTCTCCTTCTTCATCACTCCCACTGAAGTATTCTTTTATTGTTACTCTCATATCATAAATTAATTTAGTTGGTTTATAAATATCAGCTTCAAAAATTTAATGCAAAGAATATCGTTATTAATTTAAAAGCAAAATAATCATTTAGATGAATAAAATAAAATAGTTCAGAGTACTAGACACTTTTATAAAAAAAAAATTCAATTAGTATGCATTAAGTAAAAAAAAAAAATTATTTTAATTCACCCAATAATTTCATAGCATTTAAAGAGATTATGTAGTTGTTTGTACCTAGAACTCCATTTTTCTGTTTTTATCGCTTTTCTCTTCATCTGAATTGATGAATATAGACCCCTCAACTATTGATTAGTTTAAACAAAAGCAAAATAAAATTAAAAAACAAAATCCTCTCTTGTGTCCATTTATATTTCCAAAACATTGTAATGGTGAACATAGTAAGTATAATTATTAGGAGTAGTAATTAGTTCAGAATATCAAAATTACTTCAAGTCAAATAGCATCGGACACATTGCAAGTCAATATGTATAGTGACTTTACATTTCTACACAAAATAGTAACAAGAAATTCCAGAAAGAGAAACAATCATAAATAAAGAATTAGAATTGAAACAATCCTTTGTAATTAAAAAATTTATAAATGATAAAAATCTTACAAACAAACAAGAAAAGATGGAAAAAGAAGAAACTTTACCATAGGAGTCGTAGTAATGCTAGTGGAAGAATTCAAGATGACAAATTTGTATTTGGTAGTGGTAATATTTAGCTACTACAACTCTTCATATTCTTTAATTTAAGATTAAAAAGGAAAACCTTGATTCATGTACTTATTTAAAATTCTAGAAATCCTAATTGACTCTTGTTCTTCCACATTCCCTTTCTAATAAATAACTTACAATTCAAAAAATAATTAAAATAATATTATTTAATTAATTAGATGTTTAATTTAGTCTAGGAGTAAAATGGTAATCTAACTTTTCATCTTTGGAGCTTTCCACTTTTAGTAAGATATGATATGATAATAAAATAATAATAATAACAATAATATATGATAATATATAATATATATTATTATATTATATATTATATTATGATGATATATGATGATAAATGTGTATTTTCTGGTGAGTAAATAAAAAGAAAATGAAACATAATGGTATATTTATTGTCTATACAATTTTAAATGGGTTGCAAAATAAAATGTCTGGTATGAGAAATTAAAAAGAAAATAGTTTTGGAGGGTAAATAGATTGAGAATTAACGGTAAATTCAAGAATGACTATATATATATATATATATATATATATATATATATATATCAACATTCTCTCTTGTGCATTTCCATAAAATTCATTCTTCTGCATTTTTCGTCTCTGCTTATTCATTCAACAATGAGTAGATACTATTCACTTGAACACAACACTGATGCGATCCCTCCTAATGATACCATCCACTGTCATACTTATGGGTGCAGAATGCTCGTTGCATTTTTCAACGATTATATTCCGAGGGTAACGATTCGAACATAATTTCTTCATTTAGGAAAAAAAAAATCATGAAATTGCTACTGATTTCAATATTTTGGAAACAGATATTTGTATTTCAGCACTACTCTGTTATATTTCAGCAACTCATTTTCTTGTCTTGTAGACTCAATCAGGAGGACTGGGTGTAAGTATGAGCAACTTGAGATATGTATACACTTTTTTCTGCTGTCTAATAACGCTCATTTATATATGCAGGATTAATGTTCATATACCAGAAACCGTGATTTACCCTGTTGGAACACTTACTGTAGCCAATGTGAAAATATGATAGGGTGGAAAATTGTAAGATACTACTATTAAAGAACATCAACAAAAAGATTTTGTTGCTTTATACTGATTTTTTTTTATTTCTCCGGATTGCAGTCACCCAACCGTCAAAGTATATTACACAAGGGAGATTCGTTATGAAATTGTAAGATCTAATTACAAAATTGCAAATTGAGAGTGTATATGACTTATAAGGGTTAATATAAATGAGTATTTTGTTTCAGGGACAAGCTTAGAATTTCAAATAATGAACGGTTGATTCGTCCAATCCAGGAACAAAATTTCCGCGCTAATGAGGAAAATGCAGATCAAGATGGAGAAACAAGTGAGGGATATGGAGACTCTACTGAACAAGAAGTGGGCTCTGATGAGCAAAATGGAGACTCTACTGATCAAGATGGAGACACGGCTGATCAAGGTTTAGGCGCTAATGAGCAAAATATTGATCAAGATGGAGACTCAGTTGAAGAAGATGATGGCGCTATTTCTAATTACTTGAAGCATCTCCGCAGTAAAAATGCTAATCAAGATGGAGGCGCTAATGAGCAAAATGCTGATCAAGTTGTAGGAGCCAATGAGCAAAATGCTGATCAAGTTGTAGGAGCTAATGAGCAAAATGTTGATCAAGATGGAAGTGCTAATGAGCAAAATGCTGATCAACATGGAGGCACTAATGAACAGAATCATGATCAAGGTGGAGGCGCTAATGAGCAAAATGCTGATCAACATGGAGGCGCTAATGAGCAAAATGCTGATCAACATGGAGGCGCTAATGGACAGAATCGTGATCAAGATGGAGTCCCGCCAACGAAACGAAGGAAGATATAGCCTACTCATTCTTCTGATATTCTGCTAATACAAAATGCTATAATTCTTAAGTGTGTGATATTCTGTTTTAAGATTACACTACAAATTGTATTACTTCAGGTTGGAATAAACCAATTGACACTGCACATTTTACATGTTTGATCTCGGGTTTTACCGTTCTGTATATGCTGCTTAGTTTGTTTTTAATCTGTTGATACAAAATTGCTGATTGAAGTTTATGGCTGCCTAAAAGCTACAAATCCTATAGTCCTGTTTAGCATGAATTTGTAGTAGAGTTTTCCTTCACCACAGCAACTCTATTCTCTCAACAAAAGGATCCTGACTTCTTAACTAAGTTGCAGCACCACTACACTTATGGCACATAAAGGAAAACTTTCAAAAAACAAAATACATATCAAAAATGGCTTCGCCCGGACTTGAACCGGAGACCTTCAGTGTGTTAGACTGACGTGATAACCAACTACACCACGAAACCTTGGTATAAGATATTACTTTAGACTTTAGTTCTATTATCTTGGTTTGCCTGTTCATCTCTTTCTTCCTCAATTTCATGTGAATTTACTTTTGCTATAATCTAACAATAATTGATTAAGCTTGCTTTAGACATTCGATATAAAATCATCATTTCAACTCAAAATAAAGTATGATTTGGGATTTCAAATTTCTAATGGCTACACCATATCATTTTTCCATATAATAATATATAGGATGCCCTTTAGTATTTGGAGACCTAAGGTAATGGTGTTATTTATCTTAGTCGTATAAGGTTTTACAATCAACTCAATATATTTTGGTTAAGTGATTTAATGTATCATTAAAAAGAAAGTAATCTGGAGCACACAAAGCATTCTACATTAGCAGGATCAGGATCAGGGAAAAAACCGCACTTCAAGGAATGTGATATGGACATATTCTACCATAATACAAGGGTTATTGACTGCTTCCAACTTCCATGGTTCGAACTCATTGTTCCAAGATTTCCTCTTGATTTGGTGCAACAAACATATTAATCATTGCTCAATAGTATGTCTCACATCATTTGTTTGATGCAAACACTTGATACAAATAATTTAGTTATTTTTACTGTTGAAATTCACGCAAACATCTACAACTGAGATCAGGAGCAATTGTCTCCACAAATTTTTCTACTATTTCCTAATCTACTGCTTAACCACTATCATCTACTCATCTTGCTACCATGTTGATCACTAGCTAGTATTACTAAAAATAATAGCAAATGCTACTGCAAGGCATTAGACAAATCACTGTTTCCATCCTCTCGGGTCGATCGATTCTTTTGCTTTCGCAGATAACATTTTGTTTTCACTTCTTTTTGTTTCTCAGTCAGCTCCAATTTTGTACTCCTGCAGACCATTATCAAACAAAGAAAATGAATCAAGAATATTCACATATCAATTATCCCGTCATAACGGATGAAAACCTGTCAATTATGGAACCCCACATTTATATGGAAGCAACTATAAAGTCAAGAGACCTTGGTATTGTAGCATTTCAGTCAAGAAAGCAGGACATGATATTATATATATATATATATATATATATATATATATATATATATATATATATATATTAGCCAGACTGAAGTTATGTTGATGGGGAAGTCTAATAAATTGGTGAAAATATATTGTCATACCCTATCAGTTCTCCTTCCAGCTATTGAGTAAATTAATTGACGTGTTGTGGTGAATAAACTGATAAAAAGATCTAGTTTTGCTTACGTAGAGGAGAGTAAATACCCAATTGTCCCAGAAAGTACTGCAGAACCTACTTCAGTCCTATCGTTTTCTGTAAGAAAAACAATTGAATAGCTGGATCCCCACGTCTATTGTACTGCAGATTGCAGATTAATTTACCAAGGCAAGGAACCTTCATACACCTACCACTCCTTATAAAGCAATAACCATACCAAGATAAGTTTTTCTACTCATGTCCCTATTTTCATGCCCTATAACAAGAACCATTCGCAACTCACCCATTGCATGAACCTTGCCACTGGCCAGCAGTGTCATAGTCAGGATTTTCATCACTAATGAGATTCAAAATATAAAGAAATAAACACATAAAAAAAATCCATGGGTCAACATCTACTATGTATGTATACACATAAAAATAATCTGATGGTATATATAGTTTAATTTTTTGACGAGCGGTGCCCTAGCTCCCCCCCTATTGGCAAAGGTGACTCAACTGTAGTTTTTAAACAAGTCCATCAAACAAATGGTATATTCATCATAACTTCAACTTGAATCATCCCCGCCAATCACCTAGGCCTTACCATAGGCAGGATGTTGACGTTATTCCACAAACACAATCCAAATCTAATATCCTTGTTGCACTAAACTGTTAGAGGTATGTTAGCTTAATGTTTGATTAGATACAAAACATAACAATTTAAGCCATAGAGTATACACGAAGAAACTTAACATAATGTTGAAGGCACCAACAAAAAATTCACCAGTAAAAGTACTCACCGTTCTACACTGTATGAAGAAGATCTCTTTAGAGCTGGAAATTTCTCCTTCTTCTTCATCTCTATTAAACTCCCACTGAAGTACTCCTTATCTTCCAGCTTAATTCTCTCTTCACTTCCATGATATTCCACCATGGGACTCTCTACATCCTTCACCGCTTGATTGGTACACCTGACACGTGGCAGACGGCTTTTATACTGTGAAATCAAGGAAAATCCATTTTCCTTCCCATAACCAGGTCCGCATTGCTTGAAGGACATTGAACCGCAATAGAGTAATTGCATCAAAACGGAAGCTGCTTTACTCTTTCCGCTTGATTGAGTATTAGCCGTTGGATCTTCGCTGATTGTATCTGGCCGTAAGATTACTTTTCCGTCCGCCTTCATCAACGTTTCTAGCGTTTCAGAGCTTGAATCGGATAGTGGTGGTGAAATTTCACCTCTGTTCAGCTCCGTTGACTGGTTCGGACTATGTTCAACATCGTCCGGTTCTTTACAGTCCGGTTCAATGGTCCGGTCTTCTCTCAACTCTTCTTCTTCTTCTTCGACGATTCTCATTCCTCTTCGCCGGCGTCGCCTGTCCTCTGTTTGAGTTGAAGCGTCGGCTCCAATTCTTCCGAGTAATTCGCCGGGTGATTCGGCCTTGTAAACTAGGTACTCGTGGAAATCGGAGGAACTCCAGGACTGGTTCCGTCGCCTTGCCACGGCAGGAAACTCACGATCTTCACTCATTTTCTGTATTTCCGGCACCGGATTTCTAGAATTAGAACAAGCGATTTCATCGGGTTGTGAAGGCAATGCGCTATCGAGAAGCTCTGATCCTTTCAGAACATACTCTTGACCATGTGCTGGGTATATAAAATCATTCTCTGTCAAATCGTGCCACACGAATCCGTTCCTATAGCTTCTGAATTTCCCAAAAAAGTAAGAAATTCATTTCAGCTCCATATGGATAAACACAGGTACAGCAGAAATTAAAATAGAAAATGGAAAGTAATCAATTTACCTTTTAGCAGACCAGGAGTACATAGAGGCCATGCCTTTTCCACGAAGACAATTCAAGCGGTTGGTAACATCTGAATGAAATATCAAAAATCAAAACATGTGAAATCATATGAACACACGCTTTTTTAATTATCTGCTTCAGCTATGGAAATTCTACATACCTCTGAGATACAGACCATCAGGGGAGGAAAGAGGCACTTCCATGAAATGAGGATGCTCAAGTTGGCCATTTCTGGAGAGATAGTAAACGACGGGTACTTTTCTGAGCTTATGGTTAGGAGGTTCAGTCCAAACTTTGGTACGTTCAGGGCTTGTTTCTCTACCTTTCCATTTCTTGTGCATTTGGAGCTCCGTCGTCCTTGACATGGTTTTCCCAACCGCTTAATTTGAGAAACTTAGAAGAAATGGAACCTCGATATTTGAAATTTGAAAGCTTGGAATTCAGTGAAAGTTGTGGAAACTGAAAATTATACTCCAATAAAGAGTAAATGGCGGGGGTTCACGTTTATAAGGTGATGTGTGAGAGTCTAGCTGGAAGAATGTGGACGGTGAATGGAAGGAGCGAAGGAGCAGAGTTTTTCAAAAATAGGATGCGCCATGACAAATCGCCAACGTGTTGACTTCACTTTTGACAAATCCCAAAAGCTTTTAAAATAGAATTTACATATTTGAAAATTACATAACCATTTGTCGTTCAAAATTAGAAAGATATTGGAGTACATAAATTTTCAATATATTGAAATATAATTTTTTTTATGAAGATACAATCTGATATATAATGCTTATAAGTAATCCTCGCTTAAGCAAAGAGCGCATTATGCCTAGACTAGCAATAAAGTACTCTTTTCATCCATTTTTATTTGTCATGTTACATTTTTCAAAAGTTAATTTGACTAATTTTCAAAGTTAAATTAGATTATATTAATTCAATATTTTAAATAAAAAAATTGGATATTCAAAAGTTATACGAAAAGTACTATCAATTACAATTTTTTACACATCAATATGATGAAAAAATATATCGTAAAATGTTAGGCAAAGTTTTCATAGTTTGACTCTAAAAAAGAAAACTATGACAATTAAAAATGAACGGAATTAATATTATTAATCATGACGATTTAGAAATGCCCCTTCTAAAACGCAAATTAAGGTGGAATGTCTTTGAAGGAATTAGTTGATCAAAACGATGTTATAACAACCACACATAGTAATTGAGGATTTCAAAGAGCGAGTATTTTTTAAAAGGTACATATAGGGATCTTTAAACAAACAATCCATCGAATTCACTGTAATTTTTTCTAATCGATATATATGAATTATTCATGTAAAGCCAATTTCTTTAGCTTAAACGGTTAGGTGAACTGTTATTTATATTAATTCTTCTAATATAATATTACAAAAAAGTGGAGAATCACCTTCAATAATACTTGGTGCCTAAAGTGATTGATATCAATTCTTTCACATTTTTAAAACCAATTACTCCATGTTTCGCCATCGTACTACT